AAATTCTGCAAACAACGCCTCCTGCACTGAACTTAAAGACACATGCTGCGATTATCTTGTAGGCGGGGTTAGGCCTATAATTGTTTTCTGTTCACACCTCCCCTCCTTTTGCCGTACTGGATGGCAGTAGCGTATCAGTGAGTGAGGCGTAACGCCAGGCTTGACTCCGCCCATAGGATCATCGTGGACTGGTCTCTAATATTCATGGACAATGTCCCTTAACATGCAATAAAAATGAACTCACACTGGTAAAGCATATCCACCAAATATAGCACAAGCGTTGCCTATACAGAAAATGCGAATATCAGGCGGTGAAGAGACTGCACCAATTGCAAATGCAAACGCATTTGTACAGGAGGAAAATCAAACGATTCGCTGAGCCCGTTTCGACAAGAATCCTGAAAACTTGCATAAACTACTCACGCCATGATGTCCTCTGCTCTCGGTCATCAGAGGATGGAGGAGGGAGCATGTGATGTCGATCGAGGCCTTTCTGGGAAGCGCCATGCATTCCACTTCCAATCAGAAACCTAGTGGTGAATGGGACGGTCTTGCCACATTGACCCGTGCGGGCCAGTCAATGTACAAGTCTATGTATGTATTCTCCCAGGCAAATGAGGAGGTCACGAAGAGACGGAGAGCTTGTTTTGTATGAAGAGGATGCGATATGCAAGAAAAAGCGATAGTGCGCCTGAAAAGCAGTCCTGCAAATCATGTATTTTATCCCCAACAACCCTGTTTTCTCTGATTGTTCTTCTGCTATCTCCCAGCCGATTAGGTACGGCCTGCCCGTCAGAGACCCCTTGATTAATGGTCCACTATAACAAGAGTTACTAGTTGGAACCAATATCACTACAAGTTTGCTCGGTAAATATCCAGAAAACAAATATCATACCTGAGACATAATGTTGGCACGATCGTGAGTTTTTTCGTTATTCCCCTTCGCCAGACGATTCCATGCATGAATCATAAGGAAGGAGTCATCAACACTAACTGCCAGGACCTGAATTCTTTTTGACGTGGATGGACCACAGTCGAGTTGTCTAGCGCTCATCTCCCCATAATTTTGGTCAAGGAGCGGGATTACTAAAATGACTCACTAGAAATGTTGTAATGTGAAGGATAGGTGCGAATCTCACTCCGATGATAAGCATTGTTCCGATAGCCGTTCCACAAGCCATGAATGGAACAACACATGCAGCAACGGAGAGAATAACCTGGAGTAAAAAGAATGTTACAAGAAAACTCCTTACAAGGATACATGGGCAAAAGGCTCAAATTCAGGCAGGATTCGAACCAAGATCTCATCAAGTGCGCTATCCAAGACACCACCGAAGCCGATTTCGGCCCTCTCTGCTCGATGGCTTTTATGACATACATCGAAGCTGAGTGGGTCCAAGACATCGTCGCTGGTGCGTTGGATAGTGTACCCGCCCGGGAAACGTGAGGGAGTCACTCCAGGTCGAATCTTTTGCCTATAACTCAGTACTCCAGTGATAGCTTTCACGTGTAAACCGTTGTGTTAAACATTCCTTAGTGAGTATTCAGCTCAAAGAGTAGTAGTAATAATAAACAAGCTCAGAGAATAGTTATCAAACCTTCGGAGTCGAATGATTACTACCTTGTTGATAGTAGCCTTATGATGGTACATCATCACACTGCTTGTTAACGTTGTTGTTGTACAAAAGATGCACATGATTGTGAATCCAATGACAAGAAACGGCCGTAATGTTACAGCAGCTTGCAACATAGCTTAAAATCAGTAATATAATATTCTAAACATGACTGTAAGATAGAAGGACTAGCTTAAATGAAACGAGGTTCAGAGCAGATGATGCGTGTGAAGGAAGGCGCACTTGAAGTGACGAAGTGGCGAACGATGCCTCACGAAACAGCGGCTCTGT